CAAAAGGTAAAAATAAAACTTTAAAAACATAAGTACAAATTAAAAAGTGTCTTCTATCAGATGATATAAACAATTTTGATAATATATTGTTTGCAAATTTGCAATAATTAATTTTTTCATAAGATAAATAAAAATGGGCGTCTGACAAAATGGGCTCCAAAACTGACACTGTAGACAGTAATACTACATATTTCTATTCTTTTCCTTTTATAGGAATTATGTGTACAAAGTATCTACAAGTGAACGTATACAAGATTTTTATTAAATTATTTACATATTTATGCTGTTCTGCAAGATGCAAATATGTAACGCGATAGTTTTTTAAGGGTTTTTTCATATATGCACAATTGCCTTCAGCTCCAATACAGTTATTTGACATTATAAAGCAATATTATAAAGATTAAGTTAGCTCATGATCTGTTTTACAGACAGGTGTGGCGATTTATGCTGCACTCCAATTTTAAATTTAAATTCATATGAAAAAATTAAGAGAAAGAATAACTTAAATCAAACTGATTCAGGAAACTACAAGCATTTTTAAAACGACGTAATATTATCAATAATATAGCCACTATTATTTGAACTATGCAATTAATAATAATAATAAAGTTATAATTAATAATTCATATAAATTTTGACTGTTCTGTTTCTAAACTTTAGAGTAGTTACTCAAAAGTCTCGTAATATTTAGCATTTTTTTGAAATTATGTAAAGTATAATAAATCCTTTTTTACTTTGTTAAAAAAAATGATTCGAGAAATTAAAAAAAAATATATATATATATTTACTTAATTCCACTTTATGCAGTCCTATTTTTATTTGCGCAAGTTTTAACATTTGAAGAAAATATCAACGTTAAATAATTCTGATGCTAATGTACTCTTTTAGGTGGAATATGCAAAGAGGCAGAAATTGGCGGGTGTTATGGTATGGAGTATCGACACGGATGATTTCCGAGGCAAATGCTCATTGCTGCACGGTGATATGGCTTTGCTTGATGGACGCGATTACCCTTTAATGAAATCCATTAACGCAGCATTGGCAAATAACACAATATCATCAGAGGGAAACCAAGTACCGGATTCATCGTCTGTGCAATTACTCTCGAATATTGCGTTTGCGTTATCAATAGTGATGATTTACCTTTCCTTTTGATTAACTTTATATATGAATCATTAATAAATATAATATATAAATAATATTAGTAATAGGTAATATATTAATGCCAATTAATTACTGACAAAAAGCGTTAGAACGTGCTTAACGCTCGCTCGTTCGCAGATTAATTGTTCCTTTTGTCGATATTTAGATTATAAAAATATAATTAATTTACGACATCTGCGATATAAACTTTATATAATATGCGGATTATGTGTTAAAATTATGCTTATGTGTGGTTGATGACAAATATATTATATTTGAAATAATTATGAAATATAATGTTAATAGAGCATAATGTAAAATTATGTAATTATGAAATGTAATGTTAATAACATGATGTAAAAAAGAGAGAGAGGATCGAAGAAAAATTAAAATAGAAAATATATATAAAGACATATTAGGAACAATTGCATTAATAAAAATGTATGATTAAAAATTTCAAAATATATATATTATATATTATTGTATAATCTTTCAAATATAAAAACTGCTCATTTCTAAAAATGCCATATCAACTTCAAAGTTTTAGAAAATAAAGACGATTACATAATTTAAATAAGATTCTGTATGTTATAATTAAATATGTTATTTCGATATTGAAGCCCCATTAAAAAATTTTTTATACATGAATATATATAAGTATGTATAAACATACTTAAACACGCATAAATATTCATAAACATGTATAATTATACAAGAAATATGTCCATATATCTTTCTTTCTTTTGTAAAATTACTTTTTAGTGTACCAAAATAATAATTAATAATTTTGAGAAAACATCAGAAATAATTAATGGAACAATTTTCGCATTGTTTTAGAAAAAATCAAGTTTGGAAGAATGCAAAAAATCCCATTATAATGTAGAAGGAATTACGGTAGAAACGGGCATTTGAGTTGACTCGACACTCCTGTCGATTCTTAAGTAAATATCGATACTCCGAACGATACTCGGAAAGCGGATCGAGATGTACTTATATCAGAGATATATCGATACTGGATCACATTCATCTCGATACTTTCGTACTGTTCGACGTTCGTACACTAGTTATCATAATGGCGTTTTCCAGTAAAGATCCTTGCTTTTTGCCTCTGTGGCAAAATGGGCCATCTCCTGGTGCATTTTATCATTTTCCGGGCACCCAGAACGGCACCGGTGGATTCCAAAAATCACAGTACGTTTTAATTATAATTTATAAACTGATGTTTCATCAGTTTGCATACAGTTTTTTGTATATAACCTGCACATCTCTATGTAAATCTCGCATGTCATCTTCTGTCTTATGGAACAAATTAACGAAGTAAAATTCAAAATACTTGAGACTTTATTAGATAAATTTCCGAAATGGCATAAGGACTTGACAAGTTCTACTCTAATTCATTCTATTATTTGCAGATCTCCTATAACGACTGGTACATCTGTCATTGGTATACAATTTAAAGACGGAGTCGTTATATCAGCGGATATCTTAGGATCTTATGGATCTCTCGCTCGCTATAGAAATCTAGAGCGTCTTATGAAAGTTAATGATAACATCATTCTTGGTGCATCTGGAGATTATGCAGATTTTCAATGTATCAAGAGTTATGTGGAAAGAAAGATGTAAGTGATAATTATTCTAGTTTTTTTACACGTCTTTATTTTTCTAATATTCTGTTCTTGATTTACTACATAAGATAAATTAATAAATGTTTCCAAAAATTGTTCTATAATGCCATTTGATGAGACTGAAGAACAGTGAAATCATCTTGTATACATTGTTTTCATACAGTTTTCTCTATCCAGCGTCAATTTTGATATTGATTATATAGTCTATTTTGAAAATGAGTATCAAATGGTTAAGTGCCTTTTTATCCTGATGCACATTTTCAGCATTAAAATAGATTGTATGAATGATCAAAATTGACGCTAGAGTAAAAATGCATAAAAAGGGTGTAGCGTCTACATAGCGTTTTCAATTTTTTGAACCAAGCAATCTGACGCTGTAAGTTTTATCCAACATGTTTCTTTTTGATTCTTCTGGGTATAAAGTTCTCCTTAAGCATATTAAATTTTTTTACGAGTATTAAAAGATACTATTATTTTACATCAATACTTTTGTTTTAGTCTGGAAGAACAATGCTTGGATGATGGATTTAGTTTGAAGCCGAAAGCGCTGCATTGTTGGTTGACACGTGTCATGTACAACAGACGATCAAATTTTGATCCGTTTTGGAACAATTTTGTCATTGCCGGTTTGGAAGATGGACAACCGTAAATATCCAATATATCCCTTCAACATAAGCAATTTGTATCTTTAGATTTAGCATAAATCATGATTTTGCCTTTCAGATTTTTGGCAACTGTAGATAAGCTTGGAACAGCTTACAAAGATCCTGTTATTGCAACTGGATATGGCGCTTATATGGCAACACCTATTCTGAGAAAAGCTTATGAGGAAAATAGCCAAATGAGCAAGGAAGAAGCTATTCAACTTATATACAAAGTAAATCAAGTTCTTTTCTACAGAGATGCAAGATCTTTCCCAAAGGTATCTACTAAACTATCAAAATTCGTGTATGCGTAATCAATAATTTTAAATTGTTAATGATTTACTTCGCTCTTTCAGTATCATTTGGGTATTGTTACGAAAGAAAAAGGAATCGAAATACAAGGACCGATAGACGTAGAAAGTTATTGGGGACCCGCAATTCTATAAAATTATAATGTTTTCGTATTCTTTCAAAATAAGTTATAATAAAAAAAATTATAGGGTGAAAGTATCTATTCTTTTTTAATTGAATTTGAAAAAAGTTTTCGTTAATTGTACATTACATATATAAGAAATAAGAAACTATTAATATTAGTAACTATACTAATTTTCATTGTAATAATAAATTTTTTTTAATTTTTATTTTGTTAACACGTAAAAACATAGATATTCACAAGACTAAAACGACATATACAAATTAATTTATACATGGCTTTATGTGCACTAAAAATAATACATATATTCAATGGATCCTTTGTCGTATAAATAGTAATGATACCGATCATAAACTAAAGCGACTAAAGTGTTAGTATTTCGCATCCAGTATCTGTTATTAAAATTGTGTGTTCGACTTGAGCTGTCCTAGAATCGTCGACTGTACAAATTGTCCATCCATCTTCTAGAATTATGGTCTGAATCGATCCTTGACTCAAAGCAGGCTCGATAGTAAATGTCATACCTGCTTTCATTTTCCCAGGAAAATTATTTGCTACAAAACAGAAAAAATAAGCATGAAATATTAGTGACGGTTTGACATATTTACAGTACATAGCAATTTATTCTGAGAGAAATGTTTTATATAAAAATTATTTTATAAAAAACGACTCAGATAATTTCTTAATGGTCATCTGCATCGAAATATAGTACTGGACGGAGCATTAGCATCGAAACTATCTTAACAGACCTAGAAAAAGATAGAACGATGTTGGAGTAGTAACGACAAATAGGATAATAGTAAAAAGAGAATTTGATCAATAGGACAATAGTAGAAGTTCCGTGCCCAAACCTTTCTCTTTCTAGGTTCGCAAGACAAAAGATTAGACATTTCGCCGCATGCTCCGTCCAGTACTATATGTCGATGTTATCTGTATGTTAACATGCATTAATGTTAGTGGAATATTTTCATTTGTACCAAAGTGATAAATATCTGGAGCACCATGAAAGTAAGTTCCAATACCATGACCCAAAAATGCAGGTATTACGTTCAAATTGTGTTCATTTGCTGTCTTTTCTATCACGTTACCTGGAAAGAAATAGAAAGATTTTACAGTGCCAAAAATAACATATACAAATAGGTTCAGATTTTAATGATATACATATTACCAATATTATAAAAATGTTCGTTTGGTTTGCATATTTCAATAGCTGACTTTAAGCACAATTCTGTGATTGTTATCAATCGTTTGCCTTCTGAGTCTACTTCACCCACTTGAAACATAGCTGAACAATCGCCATGATAACCATTAAGATATACCTACTTAAACAAAAAATATTGACTTTTTAAAGAACTTGTAACATTTTATCGAACAGAAAAAAGATTACATTTTCTTTTAAAAAATAAAGCTACTCACTGTTATATCAACATTGAGTATATCACCTTCTTGTAAAGGCCTATTGTCTGGAATACCATGGCAAGCGATGTTGTTAACACTTGTACATATAGACTTGGGAAAGCCATGGTAGCTGAGTGGACTGGGATAAGCTCCGTTACCAATGATCATATCATGTATTTGTTTATCGAGAAAATCAGTTGTAATACCTGGCTAGCATATATTAATTTTATTTTATATTTTGTTTATTATAATATTTAATGCATAGATGTGTATATCTGAAAGCTATTAATAAAATTCCTGGGGATACATTTCAAAAACCAAAAAGAAAAAAATATATATATATAAATAAGTGTTACTCTTAAAAAATATTTTTTAATTATATGTTGATTTTCAACATACATATAATAATCCTTACACAGATTTTAATTGCTTAGTGAACAATAAATTTATATGAACTCTTCTTATTCGGTTTATGAAACTTGTGATCCCAAGGCTTGTGCATATTTTTCAGATATTATCAGTACATAACTCCAGATTCGCCACATTCATCATCTAAAAATTTGTTTGTGATTTTAAGCTGATAACCAAGGCAACATGAATCTGGACTTTTATATAATATGTAGGAAATAATTCACCTCGATTAACGCGCCAGCTTGACGCAGAATGCGACTAGCAAATTTACAACTATGCCTCATACATTCTATTTGATATTCATCTTTGATCTCAGGCATTGCTGGCCCTTTTTTGGGTATCATAGACTGACTGTAGGATGGCTGGGGTATGTATGCAGGTACAGTAACTTTTTCAGAAACTATCCAAGGCTGGACTATAGCATACTTTCCAAAAGAATTGTCATTATGGATATCAATAAATCTGCGTTTTTCTCCAGACTAGAATAAATAACATGTTTTTTTATAAAATAATCCAGTGTTTCAATAAGTGTATTAGGTTTCACACATGATGAGCATTGTATTATTTTATTCTTTTTGTTCACCGAATATTAAAGGAGGATAAAATAATATATTATAGGTATCATGTGTGAAATGGAATGCACTCAATAGCTGTGTTCCAAAATTTACTGCCAGTACTGAAAATCTATAGTGCCCTTAACGTAAACTATAGATTTTCAGTATTGGCAGTAAATTTTAGAACACAACCAATATCTCTTACAACAGTGCTGTTCGAAATTTGTAATTCTAGATATTTGTATCAACGTTTATGCTTACTGGTTTTCCTTTTTTATCTCTAGCAAGAATTATAAATCTACAAATCTTGAACAGTATTGTCTTACATTATCTGATTATTAAATCATTATCTGATTACTAATCATTAGTTTGACCTAATAATAAATGTATATTTTTTTAATTTATAGATAAAAATAGATATACCTTTGACATGGTCTGGAGAAAGTTCAAAAGGTATGTTTTAGAGGCTTGTACCATTTGAATAATGCCTTTAGTCGAGCGCATGTTCCAAAATATTTATTTCAGATAACTCTTCTTATATGGTTAGTTTTCCGACCTCTCTTATAAAGGTCAAAGTGCTAGACTGTTATAGAGTCTCCTTGGGAAACAGAGAGTCGCTTTTTTGTTTCTTTTCCAATGGAAATTAATTTATCTTCTCTCAGAGTTAGCGTATTCGTATCGGGTGTTTACTTTAGCTACGTCAACTCAGAAATCGATGAAATTAGGCTCATTCGACGCGTTTTTGTTGGAAACGAATGAATCTAGCTGAAAAAAGCGTCGCTCTGCACCGCAAACCAAGATATTAATCTAGATTTAAGTCAAAATGGTTAAAATTGACTATTCTTCTTCTTCTTTTGGTTTCCCCTTATTTGGTTTTCCGATTCATGTAGTCTCACAGTGCGATGCAGAAATAACGGATCATTCGATGTAATGAATAACCTCCTCGGGGAGCAGAGGCTTCAATTCGATTAATATCTTGTTCTTGTTTTGAGGTTATACTGGAGATCTTGACAGTGCTTTGAAAAAATTGATTATTCAGGTTTGGCTGGACTTCTGCACCAGTTCATCTTTCTTCCTCTTCCTTCCTGCTAGAGAGAAAAGGAAGAAAGATAAACTAACGCAAAAGTTCAGCCAAAAAGAACAGACCTCATGTAATTCTTCCATCATGGGGTGCGTTCCGTTTCTCGCATGATGCGCATAATGCATCGTTTATCCTTGTTGCTCACCAAACGTTAAACAAGGACAATGGATGCATCATGCACATCATGCGCGATACGGAACGCACCTCTTGTCACACCGTGTGACCGGTGTGACGTGTCACTTGTGTCGCTTCGCTTGTTGGAAGGCACACGCCACACAGTGTCATCCAGTATACAGTAGATTTTAGTGAGCGGTTGCAGAGAGAAATCTCTCTCTGGAGATTGTCATTCTGAATCTGGCATATACCGTTAAATCTAAAAATATAGACCGATCAGATACAAGAGCTCACCGAGTGCTCAGAGAGCGATCGTCGTACCGAATGCACTCAATGCATTTGGTGAGTACACGAAAGTGAGGTTACGTTAAGTTCGCGTTCATTTCATATCGTGCCGTGAGTTAAAATTACGATCAATCTTCAAGAAGTGCAGCAAATACTGTGAGTAATAACGTGCTTCTTTTACACACAATTCGTATTATAAGTTTGATCACGTGGTCGCGGAGAAGTTGAACGAGTGCATATGTATCTCAGCACATGCATGTGTACACAAACGCGAAAAATACTATCTGTAATTATTCACTGATAAAAAATATACCAATCTCAATGCGTTGTTTTATGAATCGAATAAATCTAGCAGAAAAAAAGTGTCGTTCGGCTATATTAAACTAGTTACTAAATTATTAAATATTTAAGATAATACGCGTGTGAAGTTAGAAAATCCGTTATATTGAGGAATAAAACTCCTCCTCTATCTGTTATATTATTATATAACTTCTAATTGAAAAAAATCACTAAGGAATTAAATATCAAACTGCATTATAATTAAAGAAAAAAAGAAAAGTTTATTATTTCTCAACATATAGTATATGGCTTTGTCTTTGATATATGTTTTATTTTGTGTAAGATTTAGGCCCAGTTTCACAACTGACGGTTAACTCTTAACCGA